TATTAGATTACACTGCTATCTGTTTCTTGGGGAAAATATTGGTCTTGCTTGGCATTATGCATTTACACTACACTGTTACTTCACTGGGTCAAACTTTCATACTTGTACTTCTATAATCATGCTTGACACATGTGATATGGTTTAGGACATAATCTCTAATATAGGATACTGGTACTGCATCAGTCCTCCAAGTTTCAGGAGACTTTAGTGGTGAACATTCCATACAAACATGTCAGAATGCATTATATCAAATATCGTAATAGGAATATCACGACCTCTGTTGTATATTTGATGCTGATCTTACGTACAGTCAAAACTGGTTATGTTGAAATTCAAGAGACTATGGAAAATATTTTGACGTGTCCAAATTGTTACTCAAACAAAGTGTCCAAATAAGGTGGATGATATCAGTTTTCTGGCATTAATTAAGGTGAAAAAATAAGGGCTACTATAGCTAGTACTCTGTGGTACAAACAGGCTAATTTAATCTGTTATGTAAAATGGCTATAGATAAACAGAAACAAATAGATTTCTTCTTTGTTGTTTTATTATTTAAATATCAAAACATGTAATAACACCAACAATCAATTACTTTTGTATTCACTTTGTTCCGCTTCCTGACCAAGCACATATAGATCATATATTGTACAGAATATCAATAAAACTAAAATTTGTTGTTGATATGGTACTAGAAATGATTAGGAAGTTACAGATCATATTAACATGAATTTCCTATGGAAACATATGGAAAATGCTGCACTTGAAAGCGTTTAACTGCTATAGAAAACATTATACATAAGACTTAACAAATCGCACACTGATGTAGACTCTCGCAGTGAAAAATACTTTCAGAACTGCATTGTCCAAGCACTAAATCTAGCAAAGTACCTGGTCACAGTCCTTTAGTAAATAAGCATAGAAATAAATTTCTTCCAGAATTCTTGGGATCAGATTTCGTCAAAAAGTATGGAATGGTTTGTCGATTTTGTTTCTTTCGTTCTTTAAGATGCACACAACCAAGCTAACTGTTTTGTGTAAACACTGTACTTGTTGAATGTACAGGTAAGACACTGCTATAGTGTAGTGACACTAATTAAGAAGCCAACTTTTAATTGGATAATTAAACTGGTTATCAATCATCAGACACCAAATGTGGTATGGACAATAGATTGATATGCCATAATTAGCCATGTGTTGTGGACAGATAAATTTTGAGACAACCAATTACTTCTCTCTTGCTTTTCAATTAAGGTACTGAAAAATCACTTCGATTCAAATAAATTTGGACTCTATGAAATTCAAGTCATGTACCTTAAAATTACAAAGACACTGAAGGATAAAATTAGAACTTGGAAATAATTTCAAATCCAATGGAATTTCAACACAAGCAATTTTGAGACAAGCTTCAACTGTACTTAGATTTAGGTTTTTTGGATAAATTATTCTTCAGGATTGTGTTGTGTATAAAAATTACACTGTGACCTTTATTTGATCACTGACCTTGACACTCTACACCTAACACTAAAAGATAGGTTTACAGGCTTTGGCCTAACTCCATGCTTCATTTACAGAAAGTGTTCATGGTTTTCATGTTCATCATGATCCAGTGGTGTATATTGCATTTGAAAATGGGTCAACATAACCTTATATGGATGTAAAGAGACATGAAGCATGGATTTAAATCTGGTTGGTATTCAGTTGATATGTACATAAAAATATTCTTGGCTTTTTAACATAATACTATGTCTGAGGTGTAGTGTGTAGACTTGTTCAGATTTATCAAACAGGTGAGAGGAATTAGTTTTGGTAAAACAAATCTGTTATCGAGAGATGAAATCTGTTATATGTAATACAGGTGTTACATTTGTACAGGTGAGAATAGATCTATTGTCAAGGTATTTGGACTATGGTTGAATAAAATGAAAAGTAGATTCTGACATATCAGATGATCTGATGTCTCGTTATTTAAAAGTATGGGTAAAGCTGTAGAGATGTCATGTTTTTAGATAATGTGTTGAAATGACTATGTTGTGCATTTTTACATGTACACCTGTCAAGCTGAGAGGCTTTTGTTTTAATTTGATGTGGAACAATTTATTATATTGTTTGACTTAAAGATCTCAAAATACAATAAAAAGCAAGAGATCTTTAGAACCCATGCAGCCTTTACAGAAACTGACAGTAGGTCACTTTACAAGTCTTGTCTAATGGAATTCCCTCTGTAGTTGAGAGGTCTGGCAAGAGAATTAAGTATCAATAATTTGAATCCCAGGCAGGGCAGTTTATGTTTTTCATGAATCCTTCCTAGTACATACCATCATAAAAACATTTAACCAAACAGTTCTGGAGTATCTTTGATTTTTTACCTGTGAATTTACAGGAACTTAATGATATCTGGGGTATTTTTAAAATCTCTACTATTCAATATTACATGCAGTTTTACTGAGCTTGGAGAGCTGAATATATTGTTTTATCATGATTTGGCTTTACAATTTGGCATGCTTTATGATGATGACAGTCAAGCTACAGGGCCTTAACATTTACATCACTAGGATCAGCAACAAGTCTTGTTCAGTCCTTGGGTTTGAAACATGGAATTAAGGTTCACCCTCAGTGACCATGAATGTTGAGTTCTATTGGTGGAGGTACCAGCCTTACCCCTTACACAGTAGTAATATTACTTGTTATAAATGATATTGTTGTGATTGCTCAAATTGAGATGAGCAAAACAGAGGCCTTTGGGATTGTTTTTTGAAATACAGTCGAAACTTGTTATCTGAAAATTAAAGGGACCATGGACTTATCCGAATTTTAACTCAAACGAAGTGCATAAATAAGGTTGATGATATGTTTCCCGAAGTTGATTACAGTTGAATGAAGTAGGGCTTTGCTAACAGAGTAGATTGATGTTTTTTGAAATCGCAAAAGTCCTGCACACGTTTACAATACCCTTACTGACCAAGCACATATATATCATATATTTTACTGAAAGGCAATAAAATGAAATTAAAATTTGTTTTTGATATGCTACAAAAAATATGAATAAAGCTACAAATCATATCAACATGACTTAATTACGAATAAATAAACTGATGAAAACACAATGCTAGAAAAATTTTACCTTTTAAAGAAAACATTGTACAAGCACTAGACTTAACAAATCACACGAAGATATAGACTCTATGAATGAAAAATGTTTTCAGCACTTCATTGCCCAAATACTAAACCTGACAAAGTTCCTTTTGTAAACAAGCTAAAATTAGTTTCTCTCGTAATTGAGACCAAGTGTTTTGGTACGATGGACCACCTTTACACCATAATTAGCGGATTTGACAGATTTCATCAGAAGACGTGCTGATGTTTTGACAAAAATTGATTTCGAGACAATGAATGACTTTTCCCTTGCTTTACAATTGAAGGGACCGAAAAATCGCTTCGACTCACCCGAAATTTTGACTCAATGAAATTTGAGTCATCCGAACTAAAATTACAAAGATCTAGAAGGGAAAAAATCTGGACTTGAAAATTATTTCGACTCAAACAGAATTTTGACTCTGGCAATTTCGAGACAACAAGTTTCGGCTGTATATAAGATATATCTCTGGCTTCTGTGTGATGAGTTGTGTAAATCAAAGTTTAAATTTATTTTTTTAGTTTTTGCATGCACCTATATATGAAAACACACCTGTTATTATATAACTTTATACATGTTTTGCATGTTAAAATGATGTTTTGTGCCCTAAAGAATTTAGCACCTACCTTGTACAACTTTGCCTTCACTGTGCAGTCAACTGAGGCTTAGATATCATTGATAAAGAATTAACATGGTCTCTCAAATGATGCAGACATTCAGGATACATGAAAACTATTTAAATACAGTTTGAAAGAGACAGAAATAATCAGCATTTCAATTTTCGAGTATGTCAAAAGGTCTACATTCCATTCAATAGCCTCCACAACAGGTAACCTTCATTGAAATATTAACCATCTTAGGACACCCAGGTATCTTCTATGACTTTCCGTAGATCTTCAGAACTAATCGCAATACTTTGTTGTTTATCTGTTGTTCATTGAATATGTCTATTCAAATAGATGTATGGTCAAATATGTGTGTGTGGTTTTCTCTGTGTGTATGATTCAATATATGTGTTTCTCTGTGTGTATGATTCAATATATGTGTTTCTCTGTGTGTGTAGGATTCAATGTACATATGTGTTTCTCTCTGTGTGTGTATTATTTAATATACATATGTTTCTGTGTGTGTGTATGATTCAATATATGTTTTTCTGTGTGCGTAGGATTCAATATACATGTGTTTTCCTGTGTGTGTATGATTCAATATACATATGTGTTTCTGTGTGTGTGTATGATTCAATACACATATGTGTTTCTCTGTGTGCGTAGGATCCAATATACATATGTGTTTCTCTGTGTGTGTATGATTCAATATATGTGTTTCTCTGTACGTATTATCCAATCTATGTATGTGTTTGTCTGTGTATGATGTTTTTCTTATACAGTGTCTTTTGTCTTGGTGTTTGTTCACAATGCCTTAAAAAATATCTGAATGATTTTTTTAAATTAGTCCCCTTATGTCCCCTATACTTAACTCTTTTGTTGGGATATCAGCTAATTAAGGTTACTGATTCTAAAACAACAACAATATTCGCATGATATCTGTCGTGCTTATGGATGCAGAAATACATAGCATTGGTATTGGTGTATGAAGCATGCCAATCGTCCACAAATCATCAATAGCACATCATTCTTCTAAACTTGTTTCCAAATGATGATAGTTCATAGTGAGAGAGTACTTCATATAGTGATCTCTTCATCTTTACACAATTAATTAATCATTATTTAGAAGTACTTTATAATTGAAACTTTATTCATTCCTGCAATAACTCAAATTTAGGTTTTTAGCCATTTTCTTGTTTTTGTCCTCGCTCATACCTGTAACATAGAACCATTCTAAGTGATGTTTATTTATTGTATTACAGAAGGTGGGTTGTGATGGGGTGTTGGGCTCAGGGCTGGAGCGTGATGGATGTGGTGTGTGTAATGGAGACAATACTTCCTGTCAGATCATTTCTGCGATATTTACACGGACACACCTTCCCAATGGATACAACTTGATAGTGCAGATCCCAGCAGGTGCTTGTAACATCAGTATTACAGAGATGGGCAGAAGTAGGAACTACTTAGGTAAGTCTATGGTCCTCCACAAAAGTACCCTGTTTCAATTACAAGCAGCCTCATTGAAAATACTGTGATAATTTGGTTTTCAGGAAAATTTAGGAAATCAACCCTTCATTTCAGCCATGTCTGACACATTGTTTTCTCAATCTGTTTTTACAGACAAGTTAATTTGATATAAATGAAGACAATGAAAATAATTCTAGTTATTTGCTGTAAATTTTAGCTGGAAGTTAACAGGAAAATAAAGCCTGAGTAACTAACACTATCAAACTAATGGGAAAACTGTGGTGAAAACTTAAACAAAGAACCCATTTCATCATTTGTGAAATTTAACATCTTTCTGTCTCTTTCTACATAAACTTATGACGGATGGCGTGCCATTCCTGATGACAAATGATGTTTTTTGTGGCATTTAGAACTATAATAGCGTACAGTCATAAAGAGTTCTTCCAAAGTATTAGAAAAAATTAATCATAGAAAAGTAAGGAAGAACACAGCAATTAAGCAAACAGTTCTTGACACTGTTTGTGGCATTTAAACATTTTTTGAGAAAATTTTTTTGGCATTAACAGTTTAAACTGAATCTATCATGAATTAGAACTTCCTGACTGTTCAACATGAAATTATTCAGAAGTGTGACTACATAATACTAGGCTAAGTGTAACTACATCAGTGTATATTTTTGAAAAATAATGAATATGTTTATTGAGAAATATTATCAAGAATGATGCTTATTTTACTAGTAAACCAGTAAGAAAGTTTTGAGATGATCAATTATGAACTGTAGCCTGTAATATATGATAATATATCGGAACTGTCCACTACTGGCTTGGGTAGTTTTTTTTAGGTCACCAAAGTCTTCTGATAACCAATCTTCTGGAAAAAATTTTAAACAAATTTCTATGAAATTTTGCATAACATTCCATGGTCAAAAGTGAAACAAAATTGTTAACTCTAGTGTCCTAACCCTAAGGGTTGGAAGGGCAGGGCCAAAAGAAGTGATTTTCCTCATCAATTAGGAGTAGTAGAAGAAAATCCTTACAGGTGATAGAAAGGTCTGGAGGTGCTTTATAAAAGTTTTATTTTCATGTCCTGTGTGATCTGGTATTTACCACAGAGGAAGGGTACAGTTTACTATCTTTTATATTGGAAAATTACTATTTTGAGCATAATTTGTTCAATTTCCTTTGGAAATAATTCCGACTTAGAATTCATAGTTGAGGATGACAGTTTGATTGTATGGACATATTGACCCTGGCTGCTGACCCACAGGGACTGAAGGGAGGGGCAAAAAGGAGCCGCAGGGAATCAAATTTCAAAAAACCAAGATTTGGTAAAATCAAATTTTCTGCATGAATGGAAGGCTTTTAAGATGCTTTACCAAACTTGTGAATAATATGACCTCAGGATCTCTTTGGTAAGGGGTACAGTTTAGTTTATATGGGAAAACAACATATTTAGACATAGTTAAAATCCTTATCATGAGATGGCAGTTAAAGATATACATAGTTTACTTCTGTGTTACGTGTACAATATACATCAGAATATGTTACTTTTCAGTCAACAAGTTAATTTTTATGACATATATTACATAACAATAACAACATTTATAGAATTCTGAGGACTCTTAACACCCATGGCTGCTAGTTTTCTTCGTTCAAATTTTCATTGAATAGATAAATGTTTGAAACATTTTTTGTCAAGAACCATTTTATTCTTACCTTTAAAATTATGATAAGTGAATCACTTGATGATAAGACACTCCAGCATGAACATTATATGAAGTTTTATTAAATTGAATAAAAGAATTAACAGCAGTAGTTTTTAATATGTTTTTTATATTCCTTTAGTTGTGTTTCCAGTGTAAGTTGTGGTTTTTTTTTGTAGTTTGACATAACTACGTGCTGTATTTATGAAGAACCTGGGCTATCTTTCATATCTTTTTTCCAGTCTTAGCATTAGCTGACAGAAGTATATACAAAAAGTATTGGTCTGTATATAGATAGTATCAGGACATATAAAATAGTATCCATAAATTAGTGTACAAACATTGTGTAATTTGCATCAACAAAAGGTCTGAAATGGTCCTAATTATCTTCAATTATTTAAATTAGGAGATAAAATTGTGTTGGCAAACACACTGGGACAGCTGTCAGGAGTTTAGTCTGCTGAGTTATGGTAGGCCAGCCACAGAATCTTTTCGGTATATGTCCGTGTCACCAGAGATGTAGCACCCCTCCCTGCAAATGCAAACATATATCACCAGATTATTCCAATTTTGAAAAGGTTATCGTAAGTTACAGTTGTTTGACTTTCAAAGTTTTCACTACCATTACTGAAGATGTATTTTTGTAACTGTAAATATTCTGAATTTAAACCTATGAACAATAGAGTTGACAGATGTATGAAAAAAATCTTAAATTGGTTGATAATGAGGAAGTGTGTTGATGTAATGTTGATTAGACATTCATTAACATATTTATATGAGTTTTAATTGTTTGCTAATTAATACTCGCCACCTCTGGCCAGATAAACGACGCCACACTGTCAGAAGAGTGACATTTGTGCATGTCCAGGTGGAAATGTGTCACACACAATGACAAGATCATTGTTTGTTTATCCATTTTATTAATTTTAGTTTTCAGATATAGCTATCACTCTCTGTAGTCAAACTGACAGTAACTAATCAAATACAGGGATCTGTTTTATATCACTGACGAACATAACGAAAACTATGAACATGAAAAACCTTACAGATTTGTGATAAACTACACTGAATTTGTAAATGAAGTTGTCATAATTGAAAAATCTTGGTATTGTAAATGTACTTAATGAGTGAAGGAAGGAGTTATTTTACCTGCGAACCTCAAAGTGCCAATCATGTGAAAATGTCAGAAAACAATAATCAATGGCATGAATAGAAGGAAATATATTTATCAGCTTAAGAAAAAGGCGTGATTATGTGACAGTGCAGATTGTGAATTAACAGGATAGGAGTTCCAGATGTAATTAGATGTTAATGTCCTGTGTCCACAATAAATGTCACTAGTCATAAGGTAGACAATCTGCAGCATATGCTGTTCTAATAATGCACATTCTCATTCTGGAAGAATGCCAGAAATTCTTGCTCCAATTCTTTGACAGCATTTTTCCTAAACTCTTGATAAATATCTGTACACATCCTGTTTCTTATAGTACAATAAAACCTTTAGTATCCAAGTTGTCTTCTTTGATGACCCAACACCTTAATTCCAGAGGGATTTTGATCAATCTTTATACAATGGCTAACAATGAGAATGCCTTGGAAGGGTTTTCGGGCTCCAAGGTCAAGGTCGCTGCCACCTTCCTTTCCTGTCCCATTGAAATGCCTTTCTTGTCCCATAGACAGTCTTTATCTGGCTTGTTTATAACCTTTTACTACCCTTTTTGAAACCCTTTCCTGTCCCATTGATAGTCATTTCCTTTCCCATTGGCAATCCTTTCCCATTGACTTCAATTTCATGTCCCATTGATAGTCCCTTCCTTTCCTTTTAACAACTCTTTTCTGTCCCATTGACAGTTCTTTCCCATTGAAAACTCTTTCCCGTACCATTGATAATCCTTTCCTGTACCTTCGAAAGCCCTTTTTCTCTCCCATTGACTGTCTCATTGACTTCTCTTTCCTTTGCAGTTCTGGTGTTGCTTTCATATAAGTCCCTTGATAACTCAATATCTGATCCCTTGAACCCCTACAATGCCAATCGTGTGATATTGGTCCTGTAAAAAGTCCCTTGCCTGACTTAAGGGGGAAGTGGGGGATGATGAATGAATCCCTTTTCTCTCCAGGACAGTTTTATATCAAATAGATAATTACAAGATAAATTAGTTTTACTTTCCTTTTTATAGATGGATTGCAGCATACGATAGCAGTGTAATGAAGCACTGGCTGTATCTGATACCCAGAGTCTGCTGACGTTAACACTATTAAGCTGTAAGGCAGATTGTTGGTTCTCTGGTGTTTTAAGTAGTGATTTCATTTGTTATTTCCTGTATGTCACTAAAATAGCATTGCACTAGAGTATGTTTAAAGCCAAACCTTCCCAACATTGGCAAGAATGACATCTGGTCGGCCTGAAGTTTGACTCATCTTCCGAAACTTTAAGTCTTATTTTAAGATCCCCTGAACTTTACAGATGACTTTGATGTTGTTAGTGGCCTGTTTCTGTGATGATATTGAGAAAGACTAGGTACAATCCATCACTTGAACTTAGAAATGTCATGCCAATTACAAATAAATTATAAATCATCATGTCCATATAGTGCCTGGCATCATGTGTTTGACAGCTTTGTATAACAAATCCTGAATGGATTTGTGTCGAATATGCATTGTTTCCCGTACAGATTTGATCTTTTGTTTTGTATGTTTTTTTAATTTTCATCATCCATTTCTGTTGAATTCTAATACTGTAACATTGGTCTTGTTAGTACAGACAATATGGCTATCACTTCTGTACCATTTTGGATTTCAGGATTAAAGTTATTGTAGCATTTCCTCAGAATATACCACACAGAATATTAAACATTCTACACAAATATCTGTAGAACCTTGTTAAGGGACATCTTTTATTGTGGACAGAAGAGGAGGTGAAGAACAAAATGACCAGCAGGCAGTTCAATTGAATGGTTTTAATGAACATCAAACAAATTTATAACAAGTTTTGTACATGCAGCTTGTATAGAAGTATAGGAAAACCATACCCATACTGAGTATTCATCTTGAATATCAGGTTCAAAAACTCTTATCCTAACATCTTGTACAGTGCTTTACAAAGCTTTCTTCAATTTCATGCTCATGCATGTCTGTTCCTGCTGGGTTTTCATTTTGCTTTATGACTTATTTATATTATAGTCAAGATCTCAGAGTCAATAACAATGGGATCAAAAGTCAAGATCTCAGAGTCAGAAACAATGGGATCAAAAGTCAAGATCCCCGAGTCAGGAACAATGGGATCAAAAGTCAAGATCTC